CTGACCGGAGTCGCCAGGGTCCCTCTTCGACCAGGTGTTCCAGTCGAAAACCGGACACCTGGTCACCCTACCCTTCACCCGAGGCCCCACTCCTGAGCTTCCTCTTCCCCCAAAGACCCTGTCCCCCGCTCCCTCTTCTCTACCCTTCCCCCTGTTCTGGCACCCCTGCTTTGCCATCATCCATGCACTATACACATGGGAACATTTTCAATCCAACACCAGCACTTGTACAGTTGTGGTGGGAAGGCTTTTGTGTCAAAGGAAGTGGGCCCAGACCTGGGAGACGGGGTCAGGAAATTAGTTGGAACTGGCTATTGTCAAATGGTTTGTATTTTAACGGGGAAAGAGCTTTCTGTGATCAGGATTTAGATTCAGTCTTGTGTCATTTACTCAGCCAGATATAGACTCAGAGTGCAGTTCACAACGGTGAATTAGAGGAAGTTTGTCTGTTCGCCCTTCCCCATCTACTGTATGTAAGCAATGCTGCCATATGGGTGTTTTCTGTATAGAACCGTGTCCTTTTGTGCCTTCACAGTGTGAGTTCTTCACAGTAGGGGCCACTTTATTTGGTGCCATTCACCTAGGGCCAGATTTTCAAATGTGGGGGCCTACAGTTGTGAACGTAACTCTGTATTTAGACACCTACATACCCGTTTTAGACATCCCTCACCTAATTTAGGCACTTTGATTTTGCAACCTAGCTTTAATTCAATGACTTCAGTGAGCTACCAGTCAGGCACACCAGTCTGCTATTTATCAATAGCAGGTTTGGAGCCTAGATTTTTTGATATACCCTCTTGACAACTCCATCACTCCGTAATGTCCCAGGAATTGTCGTTATTCTCATGCTGTGACATGTAAAGAAACCCATTCCGGAAACAGGACAGAGTTTGCAACCTATACAGTTCTATCACTATGGCTCTGCAGTAGAGTTGGTTGGGAATTTTTCAACTAAATATTTTTTCGTCAGAAAATGCCAATTCGTCGAAACCAAAACTTCATAGGGGAAGGGTCTTTTTCAGTGAATTTCTTGATTCAAAATATTTTAAAAAGAAGTTTAAAAATTGATGAAAAAAATCTGTTTTCCTGTTTTCAAAATGACTTTTTTGTTTTGAAATTTAAGCTAAGTAGAGGAAAATTAAAACTGATAAAAGTGTAAACAAAACATTTTAATTGACCAAAACAGAAGAAAAATCAGCTTTTCAATTTGTGAAAATTTTCAAGGTTTCACCTTTTTGTTCTGATTTGAAATGGGGGGAAAAATTGAAATCTCAAAACTTTGGTAGGACAGGAAAACTTCCCCACCCAGCTTTACTCTGCAGTTCATTGGCTGGGCGTGGGGAAGGAGGCAAATAGCAAAGAGGTGGGGGAATTGGGAGGGTTGCTGAATACTTACTGCCTAGCTCAAGCAAGACTTGATGCAAGAGTCCCTTTTGCTGCACATACTGTAATTTAAAGTTTGGACGGTTTGATTTTGCCCCATAGTGACCTCTGATGCGCCTCTGATGAGAAACAGTCAAATGAAAGAGTCCCATTCAATTACATCATATAATGACAGACAGCTAAAAAGTGCTTATATACAAATGCTAGAAGTCTAAATAATAAGATGGGTGAACTAGCGTGCCTCGTATTAAATTAGGATATTGATATAATAGGCATCACAGAAACTTGGTGGAATGAGGATAATCAATGGGATACAGTAATACCAAAGTACAAAATATATTGGAAGAATAGAACAGGTCATGCTGGTGGGGGAGTGGCACTATATGTGAAAGAAAGCGTAGAATCAAATGAAGTAAAAATCTTAAATGAACCAAACTGTTCCATAGAATATCTATGTATAGTAATTCCATGCTCTAATAATAAGAATATAGCAGTAAGGATATATTACCAACCACCTGACCAGGATGGTGATAGTGACTGTGAAATGCTCAGGGAGATTAGAGAGGCTATTAAAATAAAAAACTCAATAATACTGAAGGATTTCAACTATCCCCATATTGACTGGGTACCTGTCACCTCAGGACGGGATGCAGAGATAAAGTTTCTTGACACCTTAAATGACTGCTTCTTGGAGCAGCTAGTCCTAGAACCCACAAAAGGATAGGCAATTAGTCCTAAGTGGAGCACAGGATTAGGTCCAAGAGGTGAATATAGCTGGACCGCTTGGTAATAGTGACCATAATATAATTAAATTTAACATCCCTGTGACAGGGAAAACATCACAGCAGCCCAACACTGTAGCATTTAATTTCAGAAAGGGGGACTACATAAAAATGAGGAAGTTAGTTAAACAGAAATTAAAAGGTACAGTGCCAAAAGTGAAAGTTAAATCATAATGAGGAAAATAGAAAGGCACATAAACTCTGGCAAATGAAGTGTAAAAATATAATTAGGAAGGCCAAAAAAGAATTTGAAGAATAGCTAGCCAAAGACTCAAAAAGTAATAGCAAAAAAAAAATTTTTTTTTACATACATCAGAAGCAGAAAGCTTGCTAAACAACCAATGAGGCCACTGGATGATCGAGATGCTAAAGGAGCTCTCAAGGATGATAAGGCTATTGCAGAGAAAATAAATGAATTATTTGCATTGGTCTTCATGGCTGAAGATGTGAGAGAGATTCCCAAACCTGAGCCATTCTTTTTAGGTGACAAATCTGAGGAACTGTCCCAGATTGAGGTATCATTAGAGGAGGTTTTGGAACCAATTGATAAACTAAACAGTAATAAATCACCAGGACTAGATGGTATTCACCCAGGAGTTCTGAAGGAACGCAAATGTGAAATTGCAGAACTACTAACTGTAGTTTGTAACCTATCATTTAAATCAGCTTCTGTACAAAATGACTGGAGGATAGCTAATGTGATACTAATTTTTAAAAAGGGCTCCAGAGGTGACCCCAGCAATTTCAGACCAGTAAGCCTGACTTCATTACTGGGCAAACTGGTTGAAACTATAGTAAAGAACAAAATAGTCAGATACATAGATGAACATAATTTCTTGGGAACATAAATTCATGGTTTTTATAAAGGGAAACAATGCCTCATCAATCAACTGGAATTCTTTGAGGAGGTCAACAAGCATGTGGACAATGGGGATCCAGTGGATATAGTGTACTTAGATTTTCAGAAAGTTTTTGACAAGGTCCCTCACCAAAGGCTCTTAAGCAAAGTAAGCTGTCATGGATAAGAGGAAAGGCCCTCTCATGGATTGGTAACTGGTTAAAAGATAGGAAACAAAGAGTAGAAATAAATTATCAGTTTTCAGAATTGGTAAGAGAGGTAAACAGTGGTGACCCCAGGGGTCTGTACTGGGCCCATAGAATCATAGAAGATTAGGTTGGAAGAGACCTCAGGAGGTCAACTAGTCCAACCCCCTGCTCAAAGCAGGACCAACACCAACTAAATCATCCCAGCCAGGGCTTTGTCAAGCCAGGCCTTAAAAACCTCTAAGGATGGAGGTTCCACAACCTCCCTAGGTAACCCATTCCAGTGCTTCACCACCCTCCTAGTGAAACAGTGTTTCCTAATATCCAACCTAGACATCCTCCACAGCAACTTGAGACAATTGCTCCTTATTCTGTCATATGCCACCACTGAGAACAGCCGAGCTCCATTCTCTTTGGAACTCCCCTTCAGGTAGTTGAAGGCTGCTATCAAATCCCCTCCTCACTCTTCTCTTTTGCAGACTAAACAAGTCCAGTTCCCTCAGCCTCTCCTCGTAAGTCATGTGCCCCAGCCCTGATCATTTTTGTTGCCCTCCGCTGCATTCTCTCCAATTTGTCCACATCCTTTCTGTAGAGGGTGGCCCAAAACTGGACACAATACTCCAGATGTGACCTCACCAGTGCCGAATAGAGGGGAATAATCATTTCCCTCGATCTGCTGACAATGCTCTTACTAATGCAGCCCAGTATGACCAGTCCTATTCAACATATTCATAAATGATCTGGAAAAAGGGGTAAACAGTGAGGTGGCAAAATTTGCAGATGATACAAAACTACTTAAGATAGTTAAGTACAAAGTAGACTGTGACGACTTATAAAGTGATCTCACAAAACTAGGTGACTGGGCAACAAATGGCAGATGAAATTCAGTATTGGTAAATGAAGAGTAATGCACATTGAAAAACATAATCCCAACTGTACATATAAAATGATGGTGTGTAAATTAGCTGTTACCACTCAAGAAAGAGATGTTGGAGTCATTGTGGATAGTTCTCTGAAAACAGCCACTCAATGTGCAGCGGCAGTCAAAAAAAGTGAATGGAATGTTGGGAATCATTAAGAAAAGGATAGATAATAAAACAGAAAATATCATATTGCCTCTATATAAATTCATGGCATGCCCATATCTTGAATATTGCGGTTGTCCCATGTGGTTGTCCCATCTCAAAAAAAGATGTATTGGAATTGGAAAAGGTTCAGAAAAGGGCAACAAAAATGTTTAGAGGTATGGAACAGCTTCCATATGACTGGGACTTTTCAGCTTGGAAAAGAGATGACTAACATGGGATATGATAGAGGTCTATAAAATCATGACTGGTGTGAAGAAGGTAAATAAGGAAGTGTTATTTACTCCTTCTCATAACACAAAAACTAGGGGTCACCAAATGAAATTAATAGGCAGCAGGTTGAAAACAAACAAAAGGAAGTATTTTTTCACACAACGCACAGTCAACCTGTGGAACTCTTTGCCAGAGGAAGGCCAAGACTATAACAGGGTTAAAAAAAAGAACTGGATAATTTCATGGAAGATAGGTCCATCAATGGCTATTAGCCAGGATGGGCAGGGATGGTGTCCCTAGCCTCTGTTTGCCAGAAGCTGGGAATGGGCGACAGGGGATGGATCACTTGATGATTACTTGGTCTGTTCATTCCCTCTGGGGCACCTGGCATTGGCCACTGTTGGAAGACAGGATACTGGGCTAGATGGACCTTTGGTCTAACCCAGTGTGGCCGTTCTTATGTTCTCTCATTTCCTGTCTCCCTCTCTTACAGGCTACAATCGGAATCGACTTCTTATCAAAAACCATGTACTTGGAAGATCGGACAGTAAGTGGCAGACGCTGCTGAACCGCTGACCATGCCAAAAGAAGTTCTGTGCAGACCCCTGTGGAAGAGGGAGCCACTAGCTATAATTCCTTCTATGCTGTCCAAACCTATCCCAGCAAATACCCCAGCTGGGCCCCTCTCTTTCTCTTTCTGCTGCCAATGTTTGACTTTCACAGATGGCTTCACTCACAGTTTGGGTACTTAAGGGGACTGAAATCCCCTTCCCCTGCCTCCATGCACAGTAACTTCCCCCATGCGGCTTCGCTGCTGACCTCCTCCACCCCACTTTGAGAAGTCACCTCACTAGTAGTGGGGTGCAAGGATGGCTGCATACCAGAATGACAGTTGTCGCCTCCCTTGAGCAGAGAGGGACAGTTGGGTTGGGGTGAAGGTTGAACATTTCCACCAAGGACTGACCTCAGAGTACCAAAGCCCTAGGCCATCCAAGTCATCAGGAACCCACAGACACAGGACTGTGCTGAAGGAGTCCAGCTGATTGACACACTTACACCAAACACCCCAAAGGAGGGAACTTTGACACAACAGCCAACTCTGTCCCAGCCCTGCACATAGAGCCTAGAGACCCCCGTCTCCACTGCCCTTCTGCTCCCCTCCACCCCATGGAGGCCCTGACCTTGTGTGGACAGAGTTCTCTCCCCACATGTATACACACATCAAACCCCATGAAAGTGCTTGGAACAATCACAGCCCTCATATCGGGGGGAGCAAGGGCAGCTCCCTCCATGAGGCGCCAGGGGTACAAATTGCCACACAGGGGGAGGGGAGAGGCAATTAGATGGCGCTGCTTCCTCTCTTCCATGCTGGCTGGCTGCTCCGGGCAGGGGCATGGGGCAGTGTGTGCGTTCCTGGGAGCACTGAGGGAGATTGGGCCTCCATTCCCTCTTGACCCTCCCCTTGGGGTGATGCACCTCCACACCCGCCCATCCAGTCAGTACTTTAAGACCAGATTGGGCAGTCCATGGCCAGGTAGGCCACTCTCTCTTCTAACTCCCACGCAGGCCTTTCTGCCCCTGGAGAGCAATGACCACATGTAGCTAGCACCACAACTCACCCCAAATGGGCTGGAGAAGGGGAAGGGTTGTGCCGGTGAGGGGCATGTGCAGTGCCTCCCTGTGCAACCTGTGGGGTGGGACTGCCTGCTCCTAGTGCAGATCAGTGCTTTCAAGACACAGTTGAGCCCTGAGGAGGTGGGAAGAAATGCCCTGGCTCTTCAGTTTTGCTGGACAAGGGCAAGAGGTTATCCCCACTGGCCAGCCATCCCCTGTAATCTGCCAGCTCACAGATCGTACAGAAAATGGCACTAGAAGGAAATCTGTTTCAAGTTTTTGATTTATTGATTTTTGGGGAAAATTTTATACAAGGGAATGGGAGAAATGGAAGTGAAATGTAATGAGATGCTACAGCTTCATCCATAAACAGCCTCTCACCACTATCACCGTGTTAATGCACTCACAGACATCTGTCTTGGGTTTAATGGGCTGGTTCTATTTCAAACAGCACTCCAGTCGTTCTGATGAAATCCACTGCTCAGCCGCAGTCAGAGTGGAGGAGTGACTACAGGAAGGCATGGCTACATTCCTTCAAAGAGAATTTGTCTCCGACCCAAGAGTTGGAGGGTGAAGACAATTCAGCTCCCACAATTTTTTAAAAACATCATAGTCTTAGGCCTTTGAAATGGTGTGGGTAGACACAGTGCTCATGAATGTGAGGGACTAACCTCACAGTGCTGAGTCATTAGAATTCAAGTTGGCACTGAACAAGCTCCCCTAACACAGCTCTGCCAATGCACCAAGGTCCTGACCTGTAATACTAGGCCTGAGCAAGGACTGAGAATCATTAGATGGTGGGGGTAGGGGAGATAAACAAATAGGGACTAGGCTGGGGCTCACCAAACTCATGTCTTCTAATGATCTAAGATTTGAAATCAGGTTTCCAGGGGTGATAGGCAACCATTTACTCAGTACACACACTTAATTCCCTGTTTGCACCTCTCTTTCGGGTTCAGGTTTTCATATGCATCCTTTCACCAGCGGACTCCACCCCTGGCCAAGGAGAATGAGCCTTTTCGTGTTCAGCCTCCATCTCACTTCTCAACAATTGGACGCCAGCTGTGACCTGGGATTCCCCATACAGCCGCATTTTCCTTTAGTCAGAGGAGTTGTTCCATAGGAGACAGGGGCTGGAATTTTCAATGGGGCCCAAGGGAGTTGATGTTCAGTGGGGAATGTGGTGCCTAACTCCCTTAAATTCTTTTGGCTTACAGATGTATTGGAGCATAAGCTTTCGTGGGTGAATACCCACTTTGTCAGATGCATGTAGTAGAAATTTCCAGAGGCAGGTATAAATATGCAGGCAGGAATCAGTCTAGAGATAACAAGGTTAGTTATATCAGGGAGGATGGGGCCCTCTTCTAGCAGTTGAGGTGTGAACACCAAGGGAGGAGAAACTGCTTTTGTAGTTGGCTAGCCATTCACAGTCTTTGTTTAATCCTGAGCTGATGGTATCAAATTTGCAAATGAACTGAAGCTCAGCAGTTTCTCTTTGGAGTCTGGTCCTGAAGTTTTTTTGCTGCAGGATGGCTACCTTTACATCTGCTATTGTGTGTCCAGGGAGACTGAAGTGTTTTCCTACAGGTTTTTGTATATTGTCATTCCTAATATCTGACTTGTGTCCATTTATCCTTTTACGTAGTGACTGTCCAGTTTGGCCGATGTACATAGTAGAGGGGCATTGCTGGCACATGATGGTGTATATTACATTGGTGGACGTGCAGGTGAATGAACCGGTGATGTTGTGGCTGAACTGGTTAGGTCCTGTGTTGGTGTCACTGGTGTAGATATGTGGGCAGAGTCGGCATCGAGCTTGTTGCATGGATTGGTTCCTGAGTTAGAGTTACTATGGTGAGGTGTGTGGTTGCTGGTGAGAATATGCTTAAGGTTGGCGGGTTGTCTGTGGGTGAGGACTGGCCTGCCTCCCAAGGCCTGTGAAAGCGAGGGATCGTTGTCCAGGATGGGTTGTAGATCACTGATGATGCGTTGGAGAGGTTTTAGCGGAGGACTGTAGGTGATGGCCAGTGGAGTTCTGTTGGTTTCTTTCTTGGGCTTGTCTTGCAGCAGGAAGCTTCTGGGTACACGTCTGGCTCTGTTAATTTGTTTCCTTATTTCCTCGTGTGGGTAGCGTAGTTTTGAGAATGCTTGGTGAAGATCTTGTAGGTGTTGGTCTCTGTCTGAGGGGTTGTAGCAAATGCGGTTGTACCTCAGCGCTTGGCTGTAGATGATGGATCGTGTGGTGTGTCCGGGATGGAAGCTGGAGGCATGAAGGTAGGCATAGCGGTCAGTGGTTTTGCGGTATAGGGTGGTGTTGACGTGACCGTCACTTATTTGTACTGTGGTGTCTAGGAAGTGGACCTCCCGTGTAGATTGGTCCAGGCTGAGGTTGATGGTGGGGTGGAAGCTAACAACCCTGCCATTATAATGTCATACAACCCTGACATTATAATCAAAGAGGCTGATAAAGGAGGTGCTGTTGTCATCATGAACAGGTCTGACTACCAAAAGGAGGCTGCCAGAAACTCTCCAATACCAAATTCTACAGGCCACTTTCCTCAGATCCCACTGAGGAATATATTAAGAAACTGCACCATCTACTCAAGACACTCCCTACACTAACACAGGAACAAATCAGCATACCCTTAGAGCCCCAACCGGGGTCACTCTATCTACTACCCAAGATCCACAAACCTGGAAATCCTGTACACCCCATCATCTCTGGAATTGGCACTCTCACTGAAGGACTGTCCGAATATGTGGATTCTCTACTCAGACCCTATGCCATCAGCACTCCCAGCTATCTCCGTGACACCATTGATTTCCTGAGAAATGCATTGGTGATCTTCCAGAAAACACCGTCCTAGCCACCATGGATGTGGAGGCTCTCTACACAAACATCCCACACACAGATGGAATACAAGCTGTCAGGAACAGTATCCCTGATGATGCCACAGCTGAGCTCTGTGACTTTATCCTCACACACAATTGTTTCAAATTTGGTGACAATATATACCTCCAGACCAGTGTCACCGCTATGGGCACCCACATGGCCTATGCCAACATTTTTATGGCTGACCTGGAACAACGCTTCCTCAGCTCTCGTCCACTCATGCCCCTTCTCTACCTACGCTACATTGATGACATCTTCATCATCTGGACCCATGGGAAGGAGACTCTGGAAGAATTCCACCACAATTTCAACAGCTTCCACCCCACCATCAACCTCAGCCTGGACCAATCTACACGGGAGGTCCACTTCCTAGACACCACGGTACAAATAAGTGACGGTCACGTCAACATCACCCTATACCGCAAACCCACCGACCGCTATGCCTACCTTCATGCCTCCAGCTTCCGTCCCGGACACACCACACGATCCATCATCTACAGCCAAGCGCTGAGGTACAACCGCATTTGCTACAACCCCTCAGACAGAGACCAACACCTACAAGATCTTCACCAAGCATTCTCAAAACTACGCTACCCACACGAGGAAATAAGGAAACAAATCAATAAAGCCGGACGAGTACCCAGAAGCCTCCTGCTGCAAGACAAGCCCAAGAAAGAAACCAACAGAACTCCACTGGCCATCACCTACAGTCCTCAGCTAAAACCTCTCTAACGCATCATCAGTGATCTACAACCCATCCTGGACAACGATCCCTCGCTTTCACAGGCCTTGGGAGGCAGGCCAGTCCTCACCCACAGACAACCCGCCAACCTTAAGCATATTCTCACCAGTCACCGCACACCTCACCATAGTAACTCTAACTCAGGAACCAATCCATGCAACAAACCTCGATGCCAACTCTGCCCACATATCTACACCAGTGACACCAACACAGGACCTAACCAGTTCAGCCACAACATCACCGGTTCATTCACCTGCACGTCCACCAATGTAATATACACCATCATGTGCCAGCAATGCCCCTCTGCTATGTACATCGGCCAAACTGGACAGTCACTACGTAAAAGGATAAATGGACACAAGTCAGATATTAGCAATGGCAATATACAAAAACCTGTAGGAGAACACTTCAGTCTCCCTGGACACACAATAGCAGATTTAAAGGTAGCCATCCTGCAGCAAAAAAACTTCAGGACCAGACTCCAAAGAGAAACTGCTGAGCTTCAGTTCATTTGCAAATTTGATACCATCAGCTCAGGATTAAACAAAGACTGTGAATGGCTAGCCAACTACAAAAGCAGTTTCTCCTCCCTTGGTGTTCATACCTCAACTGCTAGAAGAGGGCCCCATCCTCCCTGATTGAACTAACCTCGTTATCTCTAGACTGATTCTTGCCTGCATATTTATACCTGCCTCTGGAAATTTCCACTACATGCATCCGACGAAGTGAGTATTCACCCACGAAAGCTTATGCTCCAATACCTTTGTTAATCTATAAAGTGCCACAGGACTCTTTGTCGCTTTTTACAGATCCAGACTAACATGGCTACCCCTCTGATACTTAAATTCTTTTGGAAATCTCAGTCTAGATTAGTTATTGGATTATTAATTGGCTATGGAGCCTTTTGTGCGCCAGTAGAAATCCATCCCAGGTTGGCCATGACCCGTTTGGCCTGGGTGACCGGAGTTGGTGGCTTCACTCCAGTTCCCAGTGGACCGATGTTCATATTCTCCAAACCACCCTCATGACTGGCACTAGTTGACCTCTTTGGCTATGTCTACACAGCCCATGACAGCGAGCCTCCCAGTCCTCAGGTCTGCAAGCCTCATGTTATCTTGCTTAACCTAGCTGTGGAGACAGCGCTTTGATGTTGTGGCTCAAGCAGGAGCTTGGACTAACCTCTGCCTCAGCTTCTGAGCCCAAGGTCCAGCCCAAGCTGCTATGTCCACACCACCATTTGTAGCACAGGCCTGAATCTGTCAACCCGGGCTGGGAGGTTCGCTGGCGCAGGCTGTGTAGATATGGCCTTTGCTGCTAGGGCAACAAACTTCATAGGCAGGGAGACCGAACTCTTCTTTGAGCCCTAGGGCAGGTCCTTCCCAAGTAGGTTTGAGGCACACAGCTGGGATAGCGTGGGGAGTCTTGCGCTGCCACTGCCTGGGCTGTAACGGCTCTGAGGAGAAAAGGAGAACTTCACTCGCCAGGGTTGTCAATCTAGCACTAAAACATGTATAGTTATTCCATCTCCATGTTCCTTTAGGCCTGGGCTCCCTCTTACTGCTTCGCCAGCTGAGGAGAGCTGGATGAAAAATTTTCAACTGGAAAAAAAATGCAGATTTGGAGACACTGAAACATTTTGCAGATTTGTGTCATTTCTGCCAAATTGTTTGTGTCAAAACCCTCCCCCCCAGCCCAAAAACCTGAAAAAGACCAAATATTTTGGTTAGAAGGTTTTGAAATGAAACAATTTGATTTTTTTATTCAAAATGACCTTGTTATGAAACATCCTTCAATGTTTTATTTTAAAAATGTTTTAAAGAATGCTTGGCATTTTGTTCAACCCATAACAAACATTTCTTTTTTTAAACTTTTCGATTTGCCAAAATTTTGAAAAATTCATTTTCGGGTCAACTTGAAACTAATTTTTTCCCCAAAATTGCCAGCAAATCGAAAAATCCCTTATGCCTCTATTCACACTCCTGTAACGGCTCCTATTTCTATACCGTGCCCTTTCATCGCTCCAAACAGCTTAACGAAGTTTGGACTTCACCCACACTTGAAATGTAGCTCCTTCTGGGATGGAACATGGCAGCCACTTAACAGCACCCAGCAACACCTCCTAACAGACTAGGACAGGAAATGAGGACTGCAATATTTCCAAATGGAATGCCAAAGGGAATGTTAAAGATAGATGAAGAGAGAGTCGCAAAACTGTTGTCTGAGGCTGGGAGTTTCAACGCAACCTGTGGAAGTTAGCAGCCTGAGTCTCATTGGCACCGATCTCCCTTGGGCTCTTTGGAAAACTCCACCCTAACCACCTCTCCTGTTCTTCCCTTCTGCCTTCACCACCCAATTCCTCCTTTCTTTTTGTTTCTCCTGCTAATTGTTTGTCTCTCATCTGCCCCCTCCCCCGGCAGGTCCGATTGCAGCTCTGGGACACGGCGGGCCAGGAGAGGTTCCGAAGCCTGATCCCCAGCTACATTCGTGACTCAACAGTGGCCGTGGTTGTCTATGACATCACAAGTGAGTCGTGCTTTCCTTCCCAATGTCCGTGTGCCCATGCTTGGTGCTGGAATGGCAGATGCTACTCCGCTGCTACCCAGCGCGGATGTGGACCACTATTTAGGAAGGCAGTAATGCAAGGCAGGGAGCCAGAATCGGCTCCAAAGCAGGGATGCAGGGATGTACTGCAAAAAATGCTGTGCAGCGGGGAGGGGTAAGTGCAGACGAGAGGGAAATCAAAGTTGTCTAGAACTGCAGATACATACAAGGTCTCCTACAGCTCCGGTATGGCCAAGCTCTGCTCAGCGCAGGACCTGAGGGGGTGCTGGATGGCAAATGTGGCTGATCATCAACTTTGCATTCCCCTGGTTCCTGAGGCGCTCTAAATTGTGCCTCTTATGACAGACTCCAGGGGGCTGCCACACCAACCAGGGATGGCCTGTTAGGGCAGCTTTACAGCCCTTGGCTCTGCGGGTCTGGGAGCTGGTCCCAAAGGCTCTCAGAGTCCAGCTGGGGGAGTCTTGGCCGTCAGCGTAAAGTGGCTGAAAACTGCAACCGGAGCTGTAGTGGGAGCGCTTGGCACAGGGGTGCAGGCCTGCACAAGGTGTGGGGAGGTGGAGGATCCATCCCCAGGGATCTCGTGTAGCCACTCTTTTTTACTGTTATTTCTGTTACCTTGGGGCTAGGCGCTGTACGAACACACAGTTTTACTGGTTTAGACACAGGAGGTCCCTCATCTTCCCTCCGCAGAGTCCCCATGTCAGTGCGTAGTGAGTGTAGTGTGTAGTGAATCAGAGGGCATGTTCTCATAGTGAACAGCACTGGCTACTCCCCTCTCCAGAGCTCGTGAACACTGGTTGGGGGACAGCCTGTACTTGAAGGTGACCCAAGGACATCCCTTGTTCCAAGGCCAGTGCCCAGGAGTACCTGTCCCCGCTGGCTATGCAGCAGAACTCAGCTGGCTCCCATAGATCTCGTGCAGGGCAGAGCATTGGGCAGGCTATGGAACTGGCTTGATTCAGTGCTTTTGTTACACTTAATTAAACAATTGGTTAATGAGTCTGGAACTGTGTTTTTATACCACAGATGTAACACAGAACAAGGGAGATAGTAGGTACAGGACAAGGAACCAAGGGGCACTGTGAAGTGGAACTGGACTCATAAGAGCTGACACTCTGGGTCAGACCATGATCCATCTTCCCTAGTATTCTATCTCCAACAATGGCCCATACCAGAGCTTCAGGAGGAGTGTACAGAACAGGGTAATTATGGAACAATCCACCCCGTCTTCCACTCCTGGCTGCTGGCAGTCAAGCATAGGGTTTAATCCCTGACCATCCTGGCTAATAGCCACTGGTGGACCTGTCCTTCATGAACTTATTCAATTCTTTTTTGAACCCAGTTATACTTTTGGCCTTCACAACATCCCATGGCAATGAGTTCCACAGGTTGACTGTATGTTGTGTGAAAAAGTACTTTCTCTTGTTTGAATTAATTTAATTGATAATCCCTGATTTTTGTATTGTGGGAAAGAGTAAATAACACTTCTGTATTCACTTCCCCCCCTCCCCAATTGGCATTTTATAGACTTCTATCATATCCCCGCGTAGTTGTCTCTTTTCTAAGCTGAACAGCCCTAATCTTTTTAGTCTCTCCTCGTATGGAAGGCGTTCCATACCCCTGTTCATCTTTGTTGTCCTTCTCTGAACCTTTTCCAGTCCTACTGTGTTCTTTTTGAGATGGGGCGATCAGAACTGGACACAGTATTCAAGATGTGTGTGCACCATGACTTTATATAGTGACATTATGCTATTTTCAGTCTTATTTTCTATCTCTTTCCTAATAATTCCTAACATACTGTAAGCCTTTTTGACCACTGCTGTGCACTGAATGGAAGTTTTCAGAGAGCTATCCACAATGATTCCAACATCTTTCTTGGGTGGTAACAGCTAATTTAGAACCCATCATTTTATACGTATAGAGGGATTGTTTTCCAATGTGCATTATTTTGCACTTATCCATCCTGAATTTCTTTGGCCATTTTGTTGCCCAGTCACCCTGTTTTGTGAGATCCCTCTGTAACACCTCACAGTCTGCTTTGGACTTGTCTTGGAATAATTTTGTAACATCTGCAAACTTTGCTATTTCACCCCCTTTTCCAGATCATTAATGAATAGGTTGAACAGCACAGGTCCCAGGAAAGATCCTTGGGGAACCCTCCTGTTCACCTCTCTCCATTGTGAAAATTGACCATTTATTCCTATCCTTTGTTTCCTGTATTTTAACCAGTTACTGACCCATAAGAGGACCTTCCCTCTTATCCCATGGCTACTTAGTTTCCTTAGGAGCCTTTGGTGAGGGACCTTGTCAAAGGCTTTCTGAAAGTCCAAGTATACTATATTGACTGGATCACCCTTCTCCACATGCTTGTTGACTCCCTCAGAGAATTCTAATAGATTGGGGAGGCATGATTTCCCTTTACAAAAGCCGTGTTGACTCTTCCCTAATAGATTGTGTTTGTGTGTGTGATGATTTTGTTCTTTACTAGAGTTTCTACCAATTTGACTGGTACTGAAGTCAGGCTCACTGGCCTGTAATTGTGAGGATCTCCTCTGGAGCCCTTTTCAAAACTCGGCTTTACATTAGCTACCTTCCAGTCATCTGATACAGAAGCTGATTTACGTGATAGGTTACATACCACAGTTAGTAGTTCTGCAATTTCATATCTGAGTTCCTTCAGAACTCTTGGGTGAATACCATCTGGTCCTGACAACTCATTACTGTTTAGTTTATCAGTCTGTTCTAAAACCTCTTATATTGATGAATCAGTCTGGGACAATACTTCAGCTCTGTTGCCCAAAAGGAATAGCTCTGATGTGGGAATCTCCCTCACATTGTCTGCAGTGAAGACAGATGCAAAGAATTCATTTAGCTTCTCTGCAAAGGCCTTGTCTTCACTGAGTGCTCATTTAACACCTTTGTTGTCTAATGCCCCCACTGCCTGTTAGTTTTTGCATCTTTAGCAAGTTGCTTCTCAAATTCCTTCTTGCCCTGCCTTGTTACACTTTTACATTTTATTTGCCAGAATTGATGCTCCTTACGCTTTTCCTTATTAGGATTTGACTTCAAAAATTTAAATGATGCTTTTTCCCTCAGCATGGTCACTAATCAACACCACCTCGAATGGAGGCTCCCCAGGGCAGAAACTATGCCTTTATTTTCACTGCCAAGTACCATTCATTCCTATGATGCTAGAGACAAATATACTCCATTCTGAACTATTCTTTGATGCCTGAGTTTCCCCCACCCATTTGCTGTCTCAGAAAGGGTTGTCTGTTTCTGCTCAGTTGTGTGCAGGTCTGAGATGTACTCCAGAGTCCTTTACATGGCCAGCAGCAGCACTGAAGCACAGCTGTAACTGGTACAATCTAGTGTAAGTGGTACAAACGAGCTTAGGAGCTACAAAGGACTTCTCATGCTTACTCCTGAAGGAAGAAACATCATAGGAAAGGGACCATGTGCACTGCTCAGATGGATGGGCCTGTAGGCAGGGAGCTAGATCCTATCTTCATGGAGAGTGGCACTGCATGTAGGGCTGGCCAGCCACAGTCCACCTTTCTCAATGTCCATTCCATAACTAGGAAGAGGATGCCTCAGAAGTGATTGATTTGTAAATCTCTGCATCCATCCAAGGGCAGGTGATTTCATGGGAAAGACAGTTGGTCTGTCATGTCATCAGATGCTGGACAAACATGTCTAGGATTTATTTCTTGGACAGAAATGCTGGGATAGATCCTCAGTGGGTGTGAATCACCGCAGCTCCATTGAAGTCAATAGCACTATGTTGATTGACGCCCACTGAGGAATTAGCCCATCATATGATATAGCTCACAGATTGAATCATACAAGACGTCAGTGAGAAGAATGCTTGTACTCTTCGTAGCTAGCTGCGTGTTTATTTTTGTAAAATTCTATTAGAGATTTGCTATGTCAGAAGAGCCACGTTTAGATAAGAACATAAGAATGGCCCTACTGGGTCAGACCAATGGTCCATCTAGCCCAGTATCTGTCTTCCAACAGTGGCCAATGCCAGGTGCTCCAGAGGGAATGAACAGAACAGGCAGTCATCAAGTGATCCATTTTCTGTCTCCCATTCCCAGCTTCTGGCAAACAGAGACTAGGGACACCATCCCTGCCTATCCTGGCTAATAGCATTGGTGGACCTAGAACATTTGTGTTCTTTGTGTTCATACACTTGTGGAACACGGGCAGCTACACAACATCCCAGCAGTAAGCAGTGGAACTGTTATATCAGATAGGATGCTACCACAGAGAACCAAAGTCATGCCTGGAGTAACTCCGTTGGCCTCAGCAGAGCCACAGTCAGGATGGAAGTGACACATAGGACCTGATCTGCTAGTGCTTCGCCCCCTGTGCTGCACAAGTCAGACCTCTCCCATGCTAATGGATTGCACCCAGCACCCAGTTTTCTCAGGCGTAAATGAGGATACATGGCAGTGGAGAATCAGGCCCCTGGTGTATATTATTCCTAACCTTATAGTTCTAAGATGACCTGCTCTTAGGGTCCCATCTAGGGTGACCAGATGTCTCGATTTTATAGGGACAGTCCCGATTTTTGGGTCTTTTTCTTATATAGGCTCCTATTACCCTCCACCCCGGTCCTGATTTTTCATATTTGCTGTCTGGTCACCCTAGTCCCATCCCTGTAGCCTCTCCAAGGAGAGGGTGACACTATGTGAAAGGGGAAGCGTGTGGCTCCCTTGAGGAAGAAGAACAAAGCTCCCATCTTCACAAGCCAAAGCTACTTGCTTACAAGGAATTCAGTCCCAGCGGTAACTTTCCTAGGGCAGCCAGCCAGCCCGTTCTGCAGCTCGGTTCTCAGGAGAAGGCTTTCCTGAAGAGGGAGTCCTGTATGACACCCTAAAAATGGCCAGGCCCACTTTTCAGATTCAGCAGGCCTGGGCAAAGCAGCCAATCGGAGGAGATTTCCTAGGAGACCAGGTGTGTCCTGCACCCCCAAAAACATTCTAGAAGAATGTGGAAACCCACAGCCTGGGCAGGTCCAGCTGGGTGCATGAGCAATGGATGGGGGTGCAGGCAGTAAACCTGGGTGGGTGCAGAAGGAACTGGGGGCGAGTTGCATCTTGGGAATTTGCACACACTGAGTGTGTGTGATTGGAAAGACCAGATTGGGAGGGGTGGTAAAAGGAGGTGTAGAATGAATGCAGGTTGGAGTGTCTGGAATGAATATATGAAGCGGCTGTGAGTGGGACAAACAGGCAACGTGGGCATGCAAATATGTGTAAATGAATTCAAATTTATGCAAATTGCCCTATCCTGGGGATTCTCAGCTACAATGCAGCAGCTGTGAAGCAAGGACAAGAATTCAGAACCAGGCCTGACCTGTGTACACTGGTGATGAGAGGTGCCCATACAAGTCAGCCCTGTCCAGCAAGAAGGCAGTCTCCATGCTGAACAAGCATTGCAGGCTGCTCTGCTGCTACAGAGATTGAAAATGAGATCCAGTGCCTTTCCGCTGCTGTGGATCTCGAAGGCAAGGCCAGCCTTTGGCACGCTGACCTTTCTTTCTGCTTTGTATTCCGCTCCCATTGGTGGCACGGACGTGGGGTTTCTGTCGTGGCTGCTTCTAACAGAAATGGAAATGCAAAGTGACAGAGAAGTGACACGGGGGGCAGGGAGGCAGCTGCAGCAGGAGGGTGCCAGGGTTACGGAGCTGATCTGGGGATGTATTGCTCATTCACAATGTGTTGCTAAAAGGCTCCTCAGGACAGGACTACACCCCGAGTCCCTGTTTCAGTTGTCGTGCCTCCTCTCTGCATGCTCTCTCTGATGGGCGGCAGGTTCTCGACAGAGCTCCAGAGCAGAGACTGGGCCCAGCCCTTTGTGTATTGAGCTGAGTTACTGGCTGGAGAAACAGTCCCCAGTGAAGCTACATTCACAAGAGAATATGTCATCCTCAGCGGAGTGAACCTCTCTGCTGTTGTAGATTCAAGAGGTGGGTCGGGTGCCATCCTGGCAGGAGTTGGATAGAACTGGCACGTGCAGCCAGGGTGGCGGTGACATGTGGAGCTTAGTACGCAAGTGGGAAGTTACGGACAAAAGTAATAGCAGCCGCTGACGGCTCTTTTTCCTCATTTTCCTTCATCATTTGACCTTCCACCTCGTACCCCTCCTCATGCCCTTTCTCCTGCACCCTCCCTCTACTCAGGGACTGTGGCATTCACACATCCCTTTGTTTCCACTCTCAGCCCCATTCCTCCTTCCGCAGACTCCTTGAACAGGAGATCTGTTCCAACCTCCATGACCCCTTCCCCCCAGCTCGCCCTGGCCTACTGCCATCAGCCTCTTCCCACCATAGACTCCTGCCACCAGCGCTGTTAATGTCCTTCTTGGCTCCTCCCTCTTGCCTCCCCGTCTTGCACCTTGTGCAGACCAGTCACCCTGTGCAACTGGGTGTGAAATGCTCCCATGCACTCATGCCAGGGGTGGCATGTCACTCTGCACAGGGGAGTGGAGAACCAGGCCCATTGTCCTCACTCTCCATCACCTTTCTGATGCCCTCAAACCGATTCGTCACCTCCAATTCTTCTCTCACTCTTCCAACATCTCCGTCAGCCTCTCTTTGGTGGGCTTCAACTATGCTGCTCTTCCTATGTGCCCCCAAGCTCTGCCCTCTCCCCCTCTATGGTGTCCCTTTAGTGCCCTTTAGAGGGTAACATGGGTTGGACCAGGAAGGGATCTCCCCTTGCACTAGCCAAGGAGAAGGGGGCAATGTGAATGCTCCTTACTTTAGTCCCTGCTGATCTCTCATGCTCCCATGAGTTTGTCAGGCACCTCTCCGTTGATGACTCCCAAGTCTAATTATCTTTCTGTTCATCTCTTCTGTCCTTCTCCAATATTTCCTCTGGAAGGGCTCACCCAGACGCTTAACTGGCTCTGTCCCTGTAAGCACCGTCTTTCCTGTTGCACAAGCTACTCACTTGGTGTTCTCTTTTCCGTGATTTCTTTCCTTCTCCCTTTACATCCCAACCTATGAGGCACTGTACAGCTCCATGCCTGCCTGTAGTGTAACATAAAGGACAATACGCAATGAGACAAGGTGAGTGAGGTAATCTGGATAGAAAGCTGGCTAGATTGTTGGACTCAGCGGGTAGTGATCAATGGCTCGATGTCAAGTTGGCAGCTGGTATCAAGCGGAGTGCCCCAGGGGTCGGTCCTGGGGCCAGTTTTGTTCAACATCTTTATTAATGATCTGGATAATGGGATGAATTGCACCCTCAGCAAGTTTGCAGATGATACTAAGATGGGGGGAAAGGTAGATACGCTGGAGGGTAGGGATAGAGTCTAGAGTGACCTAGACAAATTGGAGGATTCGGCCAAAAGAAATCTGAAGAGGTTCAACAAGGACAAGTGCAGAGTCCTGCACTTAGGAACGAAGAGTCCCAATCACTGCTACAGACTAGGGACCGAATGGCTAGGCAGCAGTTCTGTAGAAAAGGACCTAGGAGTTACAGTGGACGAGAAGCTGGATATGAGTCAGCAATGTGACCTTGTTGCCAAGAAGGCCAACAGCATATTGGGCTGTATTAGTAGGAGCATTGCCAGCAGATCGAGGGAAGTGATTATGCCCCTCTATGTGGCACTGGTGAAGCCACACCTGGAGTATTGTGTCCATTTCCGGTCCCCCCACTACAGAAGGGATGTGGACAAATGGGAGAAAGTTCAGCAGAGGGCAAGGAAAATGATTAGGGGGCTGGGGCACATGACTCATGAGGAGAGGCTGAGGGAACTGGGGTTATTTAGTCTGCAGAAGAGAAGAGTGAGGGGAGATTTGATAGCAGCCTTCAACTACATGAAGGGGGGTTCCAAAGAGGATGGAGCTAGTCTGTTCTCAGTGTTGTCAGATGACAGAACAAGAAGCAATGGTCTCAAGTTGCAGAGTGGGAGGTCTAGGTTGGATATTAGGAAACACTGTTTTACTAGGAGGGTGGTGAAGCACTGGAATGGGTTACCTAGGGAGGTGGTGAAATCTCCATCCTTAGCGGTTTTTAAGGCCCGGCTTGACAAAGCCCTGGCTGGGATGATTTAGTTGGTGTTGGTCCTGCTTTGAACAGGGGATTGGACTAGATGACCTCCTGAGGTCTCTTCCAACCCTAATATTCTATGGTTCTATCTCTTTTACTGAACCTCACCCCCCTTGTCTCTAATATCCTGGGACCAAGACAGCTACAACACCACTGCAAACAATACTTAATGATACTGTTACGAATGCTTTGCACTTAGTGCCTTTCTGTAAACACCACAAGGTGCAGTATAAGCTTTACATTTTTAAACCTCACAACATCCCTGTCAAGTGTGATCAGACCCTGAAATAAACTGAGATACCAGGGATATTTGACTTGTCCAAAGTGACCCAGAATCCAATTCTCTTCTCAGTGACACCAGTGTAAAACCGGGAGTAACTCGACGGAAGTCAATCAAGTTACCACAGCAGATCACACAATTGGCAAAAATCATTCTCTTTCTCATAGCCACCTGCACTGTTTTGTCTCCTCACTCACAGATCTCAACTCCTTCCAGCAGACATCCAAATGGATTGATGATGTCAGGACAGAAAGAGGAAGTGATGTCATCATTATGCTAGTGGCCAACAAGACGGACCTCGCAGACAAGAGGTAAAGGAGGAGCCAGGGGCCAGGAGGGTGGGGGTGGGGACCGGGTATGGAAGAGAGCGGCATTATCCTTACAGCCCAGCAGTTCTAGAGCGGATTCTCAGATGTCACAGCTGATAAGCACTGACGTACCATTGGGAGACCCCTGTTCCGGTTGGAAGACTGGCCATGTTCAAATCGCTGCAACAGCCACGACACCTCTTTTCCTGTTGTGCCCCATGGTAACTCAGTGGGTAGCATACTGAATTTTACATTTTCCCTTGGGGAGGGCACTGAAATACTGTGAGTGTCAGATTGTCCGACCAAGTGTCATTACTGGGGTTACTCGGTACCCCAACCACTGGAGTGCCAGTAGCGTGCCCAGCATACCACGTCTCAGAGGCAAGGACTGGAGGTACTGCAGCAGCTAGGCCCTGCCGCGCTAGCCCTGTTGGGTCCCAGTAACCACTGAGACACATGGCTCAAGGAGAGGTTTGTACTGAGGCTGGCAGGAAAGGGGAAGGCCACACACACACTAGGGACAGAGGCTAAGTGAGCAATAGCGGTTCCTGCCTGGATACCTGGGGCAGTCCAGTCAAGAGCAGGGCTCTGCAGGGCTACTGCCTGGGGTGCCCGCTCCAGGCCAGTCTCTGTCCCAGCAAATAAGCCTTTGAGGGTTCCCAAGCCAGGCTCAGTTAGTGTCTCTCATTGGGGCCCCTCTGCACTGATTCTGTGCCCAACTGCAACTGCTCCCCCAGAAGTCCCACACAGACCTGCACCAGCTGGAGCATCCAGCAGTCACAGTGGTTCTGTGCACAGTTCCCTCATTCCCAGGGCTTCTCTCCAGCTCCCTGCTACCCTGCAGCTCTCGCTCCCAAACCAGAGCCCCGTCACCTCCCGGCTCAGGATCTTCCCCTTACCTGGCCTGGGGCAGGAGTACAGTGGGGCTGATGGGAAATGTAGTCCCCTGATTTACAGATCCATGACCAGTGTTACTGGAGTAACCCCCTGCTAATGGCTCCTTCCATAAGCAGATCGGTTTCCATGTGTGCAAACCTCCTGGCCATGGCTACTAGTCTGCAGGATCCTGTCTCCCTCCCAGCAGCCTGTCTTGCCTTTTATAGGGGTCCTGAGCCTGACTGCAGTAGGTGCAGCAGCCCCTGATTGGTTTAGCTCAGGGACATGCTGCCAGGAGGCACTCAGCTGGGCCCATGGGTTCCAATCAGCCTGGATCAAAATATGAGCTGTTGAAGACAGGCTGGGAAGAAGTGGGCATTTTTGGTTGTGGCTGCTGACTAATAATGCCTAGCCCTTATCCAGAGATCTCAAAGTGCTCTCCCAAGAGGTAAGCATCATTCTCCTCATTGTACAGAGCTGAAGGCCTTCTTCCTCAGAGCTATTTGGGCACCTAACGCACATTGATTTTAGTGGGAGATAGGGCATCCTTTGAGGTTATGGGCCAAAGCAACTTAGCCTATAGGCCAGGGGCAGAGCTGGGACTAGAATCCAGGTCTTCTGTGCAGGGACGGCTCTAACTTTTTTGCTGCCCCAAGCAGCAAAAAAAAGCGCCGCCCCCCGAGCCCCCCCCCC